AAGTGAACAACAGAGCATGGATTAATTCCCAGCCAAGAAACATTGACCCCCCAAACTCCACTTTTTGAAGGCACATACCTATGTTGTAGTAAAAATAACATCTTAATTTTATGATGGTACATGCACACAATTAATACTTAAGAGAAATAGAGAAATACAGTCGCCAAGTTAATGTCCATTCAAATAATGGACTCAACTCCCTCCCCCTCTCACACTACACTGCCGGCTCTTCCCTCTCAGAGAAATTTTTGGGGGAAAACCACTAAATTTTAATAAATAATACCTCAAACTAAAGTTAGGATAATACAATTGACATTGCTGGATTCCTTGTAAGACCAGGAATATTTTGAATATAAATGTCATATATTTTGCACAAAAGATAACATAGTTACCTAGAGAAAAATTTTTATCTAAAATTTGTATGTTTAATGCAAAATATATGATGTTTATATTCAAAATGATCACCAAATTATAAGAATTCTAGCAATGTAAATTATATTCTGACCGGGTAATTTGTATGAATTTTATGAGCTAAAACAAATATCTTCAGTTAATAAAAAAAAAATAATCTTCAGGACACTATCTGTCAATCAAAGTACCCCACCTTGCCTCCCCCCCTCTTCCAACCGTGCGGTCAGTCCCAACCCTCCCCCCCACCCCCCACCAATCCTCCCTTCCAGAGTTTTTAACATTTAGTATTAAATAATACCTCAGATTAAAGTTAGGATAATATAATTGACATTGCTGGATTCCTTGTAAGACCAGGAATATTTTGAATATAAATGTCATATATTTTGCACAAAAGATAACATAGTTAATTTGAGAAAATTTTTTATCTAAAATTTGTATGTCTAATGCAAAATATATGATGTTTATATTCAAAATGATCATCAAATTATAAGAATTCCAGCAATGTAAATTATATTCAGACCGGGTAATTTGTATGAATTTTATGAGCTAAAACAAATATCTTCAGTTAATAAAAAAAAAAATAATTCTTCACGGGGTAACAGATGGTCGGTCGGTCCCTCCCTCCCCCCCACCCCCCACCAACCGTCCCAAGGAGATGTGTGGGATAACCACTAAATTTTAATAAATAATACCTCAAACTAAAGTTAGGATAATATAATTGACATTGCTGGATTCCTTGTAAGACCAGGAATATTTTGAATATAAATGTCATATATTTTGCACAAAAGATAACATAGTTACTCTGAGAAAAATTTTTATCTAAAATTTGTATGTCTAATGCAAAATATATGATGTTTATATTCAAAATGATCACCAAATTATAAGAATTCCAGCAATGTAAATTATATTCTGGCCGGGTAATTTGTATGAATTTTATGAGCTAAAACAGGCAGTCAGGCAGGGTGGCGGGTGGGGCAAATCTAAAAATAGCGTCTCGAGCCGGACACTCACCGCGTATATGTGGAAAAAATCCGTGTTAAGTGAAAGTTCAGCTCTGGCGAGGCACCGCGTATATGATAAAACGCATTAAGTGAAACCGCGTTAGGCGGGGTAATACTGTATATATATATACACACACACACACACACATACAGGTGCGCCTCTACTTATGAATGAGCTTCGTTCCTGAGGCTTGTTTGTAAGTCCAATTATTTGTAAGTCCAACTGTTTGTAAGTCCAACTTTACTCCTGTAGATACCAAACATATTGTAAAAAATGAAGAGATTATGGATATTTAGTACAGCTATACCCTTTAATACCGCCTTAAAACCTGGCTCACTCTTTTACTCTTAGGTAATGTTTGTTCTACCTGGAATTTTCTTCAAAATAATCCAGTCTCATTCACATTAAACACCTGTTCTGGCAGGTAACCCTCTCAGTGATGATGTTTGTATCTCTGAAAGTTTGTAAGTTGAGCATTCCTAAGTAGAGGAGCACCTGTATACTGTATATGCACATGCATAATACCTTACACTACAATATTATTTATTAAGTGATGATAAATACACTATACTAGTATTTATTAAGTGATGATAAATACACTGCAATAGTATTTATTAAGTGATCATAAATACACGATTGTACTGTACTAATTAACTAAGTGTTGAAGACAGATGTTGTGGTAAGCCAATCAACTGTTTGCCCTTTGTAAACAAATGATTCAGTTTAGTGTGGTACAGTAAAAGTCCAAAAATCCGGACCACCCGAGAATCCGGACTTTTCGAAAAATCTAACTTTTTTTTTTTTAAGCGGGCTTTTGTGTGTATGTGTGCATGCGTGAGCGCCACAACTGCGCAGCGACAGCAAGTGACCACGTGGTCGCCACTTTAAAACGAGCAATCAAACTGACAACATATGTAATTTTGAGTCCTACTCGTTCCATTTACAGAGTACTGTACAAGCCCATAATAATGGCCCCTAAAGTAGATAAACTTCGTTGTGTGAAGAGAAAGAAGAACACGTTGAAATTGAGTGACAAACTTGAAATAATTAAGAAACTAGAACATGGTGTGAGCAATACTGTTCTAATGGAAACATACGACATTGGAAAGTCTACAATTTATGATATAAAAAAGGCAAAGAATAAAATTCTAGAATTCACAGCTTTTTCCTTAAAACTGCTTGTTTTGATAAATGAAGCATGCTATATTTGCTAATGAATAAACTATCAAAATGTACCTGTTCATCTCTTCTTTATTCCTCCTTAAATTTGAATTTTAAAAGTACTGCCTGAGAATCCAGAAAATCCAGACCGACCCAATCCCCAAGCAGTCCGGATTTTTGGACTTTTACTGTATTCTTTAATCGGGAAAGCTGATTATTTTAAGATAATATTTGATCAACCTGGCACCAAATGATCCTAAATTATATGAGAAATGTGGTGGGATTACATAAAGAAGTGTCAAAGGAATCTTTTGGGAGTTAGGGGGAGGGAGCCACCCACCCATGCTATCCTCCTTCCCCTCTGCCAGCTGCTCCCAGATAAACATTCGTATTCCACATACAATAAACTCCTAATTTTATTTTTTCTTATTTTTTATCTTTATAGTACAGGTACTGTGCAGTATACAGTTTTCTCTTTATTCATAAGGCAAATTCTGTGGTAACTTACATATAATGCTATAGTAAATAACAATCATCTTGGCAACAACAGTTGTTGACAACCAGACTTATATGTCTGATTTTCAACCCAGAGAGTTCTGTTTCATATTTTTTTATTGTTTATGTAATATTCTTTTAATAACCTTGTTATACACTTAGACCTTAGTTGTTGAGGTGCAGCAATAACATAACATCAACTGATTTTCTTTAAACAGTTCAGATAGCAGTGAGTGACACAGTATGACAGGTGATATTTTTTCTTTCACAGGAAGCTGGCACCATCTCCCCTTGGGAGTGTCAACTCTGCCTTGAGAGTTATGATGAGACACACAGACGGCCACGCTCTCTATACTGTGGCCATCCATTCTGCTCACCCTGCATCACCAGCTTGATTGATAATGGTCAGCTCACATGTCCCACCTGTCGTGTCGTTCATAAAGTTACCAGAAATACTGAATTTCCCATCAACTTTGGCATGGAGGATGTTTTTAGATCATTAAAGTCTCTGCAGGTTACACCTGTAGTAACAGCTAAACCTGTCCAAGACCCATCAAGAGCCATCAGCAAGAACCTACAAGCTCTGATGCTGGAACAGGAAAATGATATGAAGAGCCGTGATCCCATCTGCCAAGATTTATTGCAACAGATGGATGAGTATGATGCTGAGTTGGTAAAATCCCAGAAAGATCATGAACAAATTCTTACAAGATTGAATAGTTTAGTTAAACAGAACAAGCTAGCATTACAACTCCAGCAGGAGCAAAGGAATATTATACAAACTATGAGGAAAGATTTTGAAGAGCAGAGAAAGCAACGAAACACCATACAGGAGTGCATGACCTCGGTCAGCACTACTCAGGAAGCTCTCACTGCTGTCGAGGATCTGCTAAGCTGCTTAACAGGGATGAAAAACTGGATTCAAAAGTGTCAGGAGCTGTTTCCTGATGTTAAAGCTATTCACACATCAATGAAG